TGAGAGTATAAAGTTGTTTGAGGTTCAACTTGCTGTCAGACTTTTAGTCATGCACAATTGCTCCAATTTCAACCATAAAGCAGTTGCTGAATTCTTATTCAAAATGTCCTGAAGAATGGTATTTGTTATATGAATATGAATGTGAGAAATTGTCTTCTTATCATTTCGTAATTTCTCATCCGCGATTAAAGTTGCGAGCGTCTTGTCAATTCCCAACAACGCATCATCTAAATTCAGTTGTGCGAGTACCGCATGCATCTTAAACTGCCATAGTGAAAATCTAGTGCTCTGATCCAAAAGCAAAAAGTCATACTTCATGGAAGCCATCACGAACAGAAACTTGGAACAAATCAAACATTGCGTTCTTGTGGAACTACTGAACCTAACGCTCTGATACCACTTGTTGTAAAACAACCAAGATACCAGAATTGTTCTGATACCAACTGTTGTAAAATAAATCACCGGATTGAGATGTTGAAGGCATGTGATAAATAATAGTGAAGTATATAATCAAGTAAAAGAATAATAAAGATAAGAATATGACATATGAATTAATAGATTTTATTGACTCAAGAATAATGGAGAAGATGGGAAAAAATTACAATAGATCTTATAATTCTAGTAATCTATTTTCTCACACAATAAAATTGTATAGAAGAGCCTAATATTTATAGAGAACATATAGGGGATGTCAAAACCTTCATAGTAGAGTTGTTGATAAAGTAGGATACAAAAAAATCGAGTCCAAAACAAATTACAACTCCCAATGAGTTTCCAAAATAAAATTTCAACTTGACATAGGACTCCAATAGCATTCCAAATTGAATTCTTCTAGATGTGCACTTCAATTAGAATTTTTCAATTACTTCAACAAGAAATTCAAGTCACACCTAAATTCTAACAATCTCCATCTTGTGCAGGTTGCGCAACAACGCTCCCTGCCATCCACAGTGCCCACATACCACTCTCGTTGTTCCGAGTTGACTTGTAGAGGCGATGCCACCGCGACACTCACACCACCGCGTCACAATGCTATGAGCGTGTGGCGAACGACAAGCGCCGCTTCAAAAGGGTGCTCAGGACAGTGGACCTCCAATATTGGTGTGCGATAAAGAGTGAGAGGGGAGAGGAAAACGACTAGGGTTTAAGGAGTGAAATGTAGTGGGGGTGGTGCAGTGGATTACTTTAATTATTATTATTATTATTGTTATTATTATTATTATTATTAAATATTTAAATTATGGTATGTTTTTGATCAAAAAAATAAATAATAAACCTTATATTTTAATTGAAAAATTAAAAAAAACATGTATGTGTGTAATTTTCACTTCAAACTTCAAAATAATCAAATGAGCTAAGGGTTCATAAGACCAACAAAAACTTCATAGGGATCACCTCGTGCAATCCAAGTTCAAAACATCTCATCATACCTTATTCCCAATTAGGCGAGATTAAGATTTAAGCCCGTGTTTGACAACTGTCAAAAAGATTATTATTATTTTTTTTAAGAAAATGAGTTTTGGAATAATGTATTTTTGAAGAATGTGTAATTAAAAACTAAAAAAAATAAAATAAATTTACGGGTAAAATATGTTATTGTGAGAATATAACGTTAAAAATGAGTTTTAGAAAGAAAAAAATTGTGGAAAAATGATTGTCAAAGGCTAAAAAGGAAAAGACATATGAGATAACGATAAAATACTTTGCGGCTTTCGATACCTATCACAAACTCAATATATCTGATTTTCTACAGCGCAAATGAAATTTAGCATTTGACTTGTTAATGTAAGCATATAATCTAACCACTTACATCTTGTGCATTTGATGTTGGTTAAGTTGTTTTTACCAACTACTTGAATATTCTATTCATGTCTAAATCACTGGCTATCACGTTCACACTAATACTGAGCGAATTTTGTAGATAAAGAAACTACAAACAAGTGTGTTATCATTTTTTTTTATTCCCTCGTATTTTTTATTCACAACACTGACGAAAAAATGCGAATAAATTTTGTAGCAAAAATGATTCGTTCGGCAATATTTTTGTTTTTGCTATTACTTTCTGAAAAAGATGTCACATTGAATCAATTTCTTTTAAAAAAAGTTATATTGGATCAGCTTCCTCTAAAATTATTTTTAACTAGAAGAAATATTTTTTTATAAAAATAATCAAATTGGTTCATATTAGAATTTCACATTATTTGGGAAAATATAAATGATCCACTTAATAAAGTGAGGACAATCCTCCCCTAATAAGTCGGTTTTATTAGGTGGAGTTAGGCTCAATATTCTTAACATGGTATCAGAGTTAGGTCCAATTATACAATATTGGGTGCCACCCAATATCTGTTTGTCATGGTCCACGCTGTGC